CAAGGCGACCTGGAGCACCTCTCTCATGGAGAGGCTGATCCAATCGAGCTCGTTGCAATGGTACACAGACGGCTCGAAGACTCCGGAAGGCATTGGGGCTGGCGTCTACGGGCCGAGGCTACAGCTCTCGGTACCTATGGGGGCGTACCCGAGTATCTTCCAGGCGGAGGTCTATGCCATCAGTCTGTGTGCAGAGATTAACCTACGGAGGAATTACCGTAATGAGAGAATCTTAATATTGAGCGACAGCCAGGCGGCACTCAAGGCCCTCTCAGCATTTGAGGTCAAGTCATCCTTGGTTCTTGAGTGCATAGATAGGCTCAACAGCCTGGCAGTGCACAACAAAATCCAATTAACTTGGGTACCAGGACACATAGGAGTTGCGGGCAACGAAGAAGCGGACCGACTAGCTAGATTGGCGGCCGCCTCGTCGCCTATAGGGCCTGAGCCCTTCCTAGCGATTGGACCCAGTACAATCAAGGAAGAGCTCAGGAAAGAAAGGAACACACAAAGGAATCAACACTGGCGCAACACTACAGGTTTACGTCAAGCAAAACAACTACTGGGAGGCTACAACCTCACGAGGTACAGGGCAGTTATTAATCTATCCAAAGGAAAACTAAGGATCATAACAGGTTTTCTGACGGGTCACTGCAGACTGAGAGGCCACCTGCACAAGCTAGGGATTTGGTCCAACGACCTATGTCGTTTCTGCGACGTGACCGAGGAGACTCCCGTGCACCTGCTTAGCGAATGCGTGGCGGTCGCGAGAAGACGGGAGAGGCACCTGGGCCACTACTGGTCAAGTAACGAAGCAATACAGTCGCTAATCCCTGGGGATCTCCTCAAATTTTTGGGCTCTCTAGGATTAGATGAGGTACTGTGAATGGTTGAGGGCACAATAGACCTGCTGGTCGCAGTGCATGCCTCTATTAATTATCTATCTATCTATCTAAGCAAATCTGATACCTTTATCGTCCGTGATGCCAATAATTCAAATTATTATAAAAAACGAGGTACCTTTTTAACAATATAAGAAGATTTTAAACTAATTCTGCTGGAAACCAGTCACAGAAGACATGATTAAAAATGAATTACAAAAACTTAAATCGAAAAACGCTGATGACGTAACAGGTTCTCCAAATTCTGAAACAACCAAAATAATTGGTTCTCCAAATTGGAACACAACGGTGTTTAAACAACGATCTTGCCATGATTCTAGATCGTGTAGATGAAAGTCAGGAGGATAAATCCGACATTTGCAGCCCGCGGATGTTAGCTTTTAAACATCCGCACCCGCACTCGCATCCGCGGATGTCTAAAATTCCACATTCGCAACATCCCTAGTTTCTACACCAGCTCATTGTTAACCGATCATTGCTCGAGTTTTAATGATCGTAATGCACGATTGAGAGAATACAAAGGTTGCGCCGATCTCGGACCGCTTTTCCTCTCTTAACGAATTTGACAGAATCGTGGTTTGCATGACGTCACACTTGTGCAACTTGTTTACGTTTTCCTTGCAACATTTTTTTTTCTTCTTCCATTCTTGCTCACCTTTTGGCATTTCTCTCTCGCGATTGCACCAGTGTGACGTCACACAAAAGTTATTCTCAAAAATCCTCTCTGATCGGCGCAATCTTGTATTCTATCATTCTTGATCGTAATGCCTATACGATGTTTATTGCGCTGTGTTGCCGAGAGGTAGATACTCCATGGAGTAATCCCTTGAAGAAGTTTTGTGCTACTCTGATGTAATGCAGAGCTGGAGTATATGGTTCTGACCTAGGACATGGCAATGTTAATTGGACCACATTCTTCATATCGTCGTTTAAAGTAAAAAAACCTCGTATCGTCATTCTGCAAAACCGCGTAACTGACATTTGCTGTCCAAAATTTTATTTGCTCACACAAGCTCTTGGTTCAATCCTTATCTATTCGTCCTAAAATATACATACTAGCTAGAAATGCGATTGCTTTATAAGAGAACCATTTTGAAATATGAGTGTTTTTACTCTCTAGAAAATAATTTATGCAACCTCACATATGCGGTTTTGCATTATCTTAATACGCGGTTTTGAATTTTGTTGATACACGGTTTTGTACTTTAAATGGTGATATGCATTTTGGTTAATTTTGGGTACTCCTTGAACCATAAAGCGCAGTTACCCACGGACGTAAAAACGGAGAACGTGTCAGTTGACACGATCTATCTTATGACATCTGCGTGTTAACAAAAACTCACCACCGCATGACCGTGACGTAGACGTAGCATCTCTCTCTTTCTATCAACAGCAAACTTGGTATGTTTCTACGTACTTCTACGCTACGCTACGTACACGTTCGTGGGCAACCGCGCTACTCTTTACATGACCACGTGTAGTAGTCGGGTTTTTGCATTGTAGCTTAACACACGTACAAACATACACACACATGAGCAGCCAGCAAAGCGACGGGAATAGCGAAGAAAACAAAAACAAAATAACTTTGATTTGACTTCCCTACAAGAACACTACGTGTCATATAACGAATCATGTAACGCAGAGGTGTAACATAAATGCATGTTTTACTCCCATAGAATGTTTACGTTAATTTCCTAAGGGCGATATGGAAAATCTAAGAGGATGTTACCTGTACGTGTGATTTCTTGTCTCTTTCTATCGCAGGTATAACCAAATTATGTGAAGCGTATACCCACTTCCATTATAAATTTTCATTATTTATCGAAGTATTGATTTTTATGGAAAAAGCGCCGCAGGCGAAAATTTGTAATAAAAAATCGCGCGATTTTTTATTAAAAATTTTCATTATTTATCGAAGTATTGATTTTTATGGAAAAAGGGCCGCAGGCGAAAATTTTTAATAAAAAACCGCGCGATTTTTTATTAAAAATTTTCATTATTTATCAAATTATCGATGTACGTTTTCTACATTTGTGTACTTTGAACTACAATAACACCAGTAAATATTATTTCCAACCAAAATTATACCGTTGTGATTAGGAGTAAGACCCCTATCGATCCTAATATTATTATTTTTAATAAGAGCAATGTATGTACGTATTGTACACTTATACTCCCTAATTATACGCACATATTTGTGGTGTATTTTTTTTTAACGTATGGTAGCATACATTTTGTGTTACTGTCAGCCATTGTTATTTCTGCTTGTTTGTGAAATGTGCAAACGTTTGTGAAGACATTTATAAACGCGTTTTACTTAATTAATTAATTAAGAATTGTATATTGAAGTGGAAATCTCAGGCCGGGGTTTTAATGCAACTATTTTGCCGAAGTGTGTACATAAATATAGTGTTTATTGTGAGAAATAGCGCCGAGGTTAGTTCAATTTACAAACTTTAATAACAAATAACTTAAAAACTATCACCCCTATGCTGTAATCCGTCGTAGATTCGATTTTGCTACGAATCTTAAAATTGGTATGCTGTAATCCGCGTTGCCGTATCGTAATTTCGAAATTCGGAGACCATCTTCGAAATTCGTAACGTTGGTATGCCTGAATCCGACGTAGCTGTAATTTGTATTTATTTGTCGGGAATTTTCTACGAAGAGCAACTGGTGTCGGAGCGAAGCGAATTCTTTTAAAATATCAATAAAATTAAGTGTGGAAACGCAAAAATATGTATTTAAGTTGAAGTGTGAATAAAAACCAATGTATTATTAAATGTTTACAAAATTATCATGTCGACAATCACAACAAATCGCTCGCAATACGAAAAACTGCTGGAAAGCATGAGCGAAAGGCCGGACATTGCCCGAGGCTTTGTAATAGTTAAAGAGGATGTGGTGGAATTTTGGGAAAGCGTTGCAAGATTTAAAGCAACACAATATTTAGTTGTATGGACGCCCTTAAAAAGAGGGAACATATATTTATCATTTAAGGTAAATGGATCAGAACTGTCTCGTAGCAATCTCCTTTGTATATTAATGCAACAGTTGACTGCAGCATGTTCTTCCTCCTGAGACAAAAGTGCACCGGCCACTGAATCCATTCTATTTTACTTAATTAAGGAAAAGCTTTTTCAAATACGATTAAACAATTTTTTTTAATTTCACTGTTCACTTGCGATTCTATTTATTTTGATTTGTTTCTGTCAAAGCAGCTGATTAAGAACTTCGAATTTCACTATTTTAGTTGGTAACGCCGTTGATAGTTACGATCGGATTACAGCATACCAATTTTCGAATTTTCGGAACGGAGCTACGAATTCGTAACTACGAACTTTCGGATTACAGCATAGGGGTGTATAAGCCTGCTGCGGCTAAAAGTATATATATTTACAATCAGGAGAACTCCCTCTACCGTTCCATAGCTACCTTAATGCAGAACTCCGGGGATGCCAAACTAAATTGCAGCCTTCACTTCTACTGGGTGTGCACTGCACAGTTAATTTTTTAATATTTTGATGAGTTCTCCATATAATTTTTATTTTAAATTTAAAACGTGTACAGTTTTCTAAATATTGCGAATTTTGCGAATCTTATATGTGTTTAAATACTATATTATGAATCAAAACCGTTACTTATCCAACTAAACTTTTTTTTTGAGAGAAAGTGTAAATGAAACAAAAAGTTTTGAGAAGTTTTACTATTTTTTGAATTTGGATACCAGAAAAAAATGTTTCTTTAAGCCATAAGATATTTAAGAATATAGAATAAAAATATTATTTAAATTCTCTTTCTAAAAAATATTCAGGGAGAATGTTATCTGAATGCGTCATGTAGCAAATGCTTATATGAATACATCAAATGCCCACACACAAAAGCTTGAAATCATATTGCTCGCAACTATCTGTCAAAATGACAGTTGGTAGACGATCGGTGTTTGCCTGTTGAGTTCTGAGGTTAACCACTTTTTTGTGCAGCATTATGGATTTCTTCTTGTAGTGAACAGCAATATTCTAAAATAACTTTTCATGAAAATTTGAATAACTTATTTAGTTTCAGCCAATTTGTTAAAAATATATATATTGCTCGGTATTGAACATATCTACTTTTCAAATTAATTCAGCAGTTTTTAGTAAGTTGTTTTAGTTTTAAGTTTTTTCTAGTTAGTAATAATTAATGAAAGACGTTTGTTTAGCTATCGCTCCGCATATGGTATCGCATGTCGTATCGCTCTAATGTGCACTGCGCGCAAGCCCAACCTCGCTTTCATATCGTATCGCTCTAATGTGCACCGTGCCTAATATAGTTCAAAATATGAATATAAAAAAAACTGCACTTACATCATCACTATTCCGATGTGGTTTTATTGCATCTGTCACTGCAGATACTGCTGCTGTTGCAGCTGCCTCTGTGTAATGACTGTAAGGATGCGCACGCAATGCCAACATCTGTCGCTGATGTTCTTGCTGTTTACGATGGTGCTCTTGTTCAATCCGCTGCCACTTTTCATTAGAGAAGTCTGCATCGCTATTCTCGTCAGAGTTAGATGAAAAGTAATTGTATGTTTTGCTTTCATCGGCGTCTCCACCTATATGTGCGACCTGACGACCTGCAGTATATGGGTGGGGATAGTCGCGCTTCTTTGGCGGCATACGTAAATCGTTAAATAATTCAGTATAGCTTTTGACAGCGGGTTGATGTTTGCCTACGTGCATGTCGCCGACTTGGGGAAATTCATTTGCACTTATGCTATCATCCTCTGAATCACCATACGAATCATCATATTCAGTGTGACTATCCATGCTTCCTTCAGGTGCTATACTCAAACTGACTTTATAATCTTTGCTATTAGAATCTGTGTAATTCATTTCATCTTCTTGTGCGATGGTCTTATTATCTGAGCCGGCGTTCAATTTCAGTGAAGTTCTCTTGCTATTCGGTTGGGCTTTAATCTGGAAGCGCCTGCCAATTCGTATTTTCGGGCCTCTTGTTTTCCACTGATAAGGCGATTGATAGAGGCCACCGCGATCAAAGTGACTTTGTGCTTTTTTATGCTGCTGTGTTCCACTATTGCCATTGACCGGTGGCTTCGTTGCTACGTCTATTACTGGTGGAGATGTTGCCACCGCTGCAGTAGCCGTTTTGGTTTCCTGCAGATTATGTTGTTGATGGCGAAGAATTGGGTGAACGTGACGTCCCCATGAATGTCTGTGTTTTGGATGACGGAAGTGATCTGACATTAACGGTTGAAATTGCGCTTGGAAATAAATGTTCTTGTTGCTGATACTACCGCTGCTGTTTATGATGCTTGCGTTGGAGTTGCTGTAATTGCCTCTTAGTTGTTGGTGCAACGGTGTTCGCTTCAAAGGCTGATGATGTGAGTGATGTTTCTGATGTCGCAATACATGAGGGAGTGGTAAGATTTCCGTGGACTTCTGAATAACATCATTAATTCCACCAGCAGAAATTGAGCCAACACTCTCAACAGCATCAGTCGTGCTGTCAACGCTATTGTCCACTGCGGAGGCTGCTACTAGCAATGATGCGTTGCTATAAAGCACTGCAAAAAGTGCGAGGAAGCGCCAATATTTTAAACATCGCTGCCTTGTGTAGACGTCAGCGGTGTTAAAGTTATTGCTCGCCATACTGAAGATGGTTCTGAAGATCTTTGATCTTTTGAAAACTTATTGCTATAAGGATTGTTAGTATTATGAAAGCTGTTAGTTCTTTTTTTTAATCTTGCACGTTTTAGTTTCTTTTGTCTACAGTTGCATTGGTATAATAGTTGACTTAGCAAATGCGGATCACTTCTCTCCATTTACAAATCGCACCCGATAAAACGAAAATGAACTAATATATTTTTTGTAAAATTTTTGTTTGCAATTTTTTTACTTGTTTTAAACTTCTTTGAATATTTTAACGCAGTATCACAACGCTTACTATTACGTCAATATGTTGGTGCGACGATAAAGCTTTTTCTCAGCTCATTAATTATTTGATGATTCTATCACAATCAACATAAACGCGCAAAAAATGCATATGCGTGGATTTATGCATACATATGTGCATATGTATATGCATGAATGAAAGCGCGCATGTACATATGTATGTGTGTACGCACACACCTCCTTAATTATGTAGGTAAATTATTTATACGCATATGTTGTAAGTATGCATATTTCGTACATACATATGTAAGTATACTTTTTTATATCATCACAAATTAGCATCTCAACACCGTTTAGCATCTCTCATACCGTTTGCATGTATTAAATGCATCATTAACTCAGCTCCATTCTTTAATTCAGCACAATTCAGAATATTGCGAAAGCTTAGGAAGTATAATGTTTAAGGCTGGCCGTGGCCACAGTGCGATTGTTTTATTTCCCGACAGCAATAACAGAACAGAAACTAGCACTAGCATAACTAAATTTTTTGTATATAATATTGCAAAAGCAATTGCATAGATTATGTTTTAGGATATTTATTTTGCCAGAAAGGAGAATTCTACGTTGTGAGGGTTATAATCCCTAAGCGCGACCGAAGGCCGCCTACGCATAAATAAGTTGGACGTACAAAAACTTTTTTAATACAGTAGCAGCAGCAATTTAGTTCCATTTTATTTTTAATATTAACTACACAACATGTTGTGCGGATTTTCACCATCGGAATATCGCTATTAAATACAGAATTTCGCGAAAGCGTACACTTAAAACATCACAAATGTATAAAAACTAATAAATACGCGTTCAATTAAGTTCATTTATTCCATTCATTTGCGTGAAATTCATCAAAACATAGTGCGGAAAGTGCAAGTGTTTTTTGCAAATAACTCATTAATTAATTAAAAATGTTAATTTCCGGTCTCGGATTGTTATTATTGGCCTTAAGACGCGTCGATTGATACACGCTCGAACTTTTTCCGTCCATTTTGACCTATCTTCGCCAAAGTGCACTACTACCGAGTAATTTTTAGAACGATTTTACGAATCTGTTCAAATATTGCCTAGAATATCCGGATAACCAAATGAATGGATATTAACCGGATATTCGCACTGCAAAATTAATGGATTTTTGATATTTCTATATTTCTTTATATGCGTACCTACGTAAACATACATACATATACAGATGCACTTTGTGTCAAATTTCAAAAAAAAATCACAAATTGTTGCCCTTTATGGGCCACTATTTCAACCAACAACTATTAAAATACAAAGAAATAATGTGTATGCGTTTATTAACATACCCACAGGTGTACATACAAATATACATGTGCATGTCGGTGGTGTCGGGAACATAATTGACAACTCCATTTTTGATATTTTTGGTTTGGTTGATAAATTAAATTATTAATATAAAAATAAAGGCGTGCATTCTTGTTATAACAATCTAAAACCTGTTTGAAATAAAAGGTCCAATAATTAGGGACGTTCCGATACCATGAAAGTATCGATACCTACTCAACTGGGTTTACTCAAATCGCTATTTCGTTACTACTTATATGAGTAAGCCGAATGTATCGATACCTACTTATATCGATAATTTTTCATCCTTTTATATGCAACAAACTGAAATTAATTTTCAGGCATTATCCATGATTCAATAACTACAGGTTGTAGCAATCGTACAAAAACAACATTTACCGTTGGTATGAACTCCTTGTGTCTTCAACATCTTCTTTATGTATTCGTATTCGTATGTATATGTATACCCTGCATACCAGGATTTCATAGAACTCTGAAAGATTTCACAATTTTTTTTAAGAATTTTCTCTAAGAAATCGTACAGAAATTTCTTTACTAGTTCTTGTAAACCGCTTCATATGTTTTTCTTTAAAGATTCCTAAAAGAATCTTAACAAATTTCCGATACTCTTAAAGATTTCGGTAGCATTTGTTTGCAGGGTATATATTTACGTATATGTGTATGTATACGCGAATATGTAAACAAAGCAAAACAGACGATAATTTGACACACGCGTGCTCATAAGAAGAAGCATAGCTTCTATCGATATCACCTGTAATTGATGCGCCTTGGCATTATCTGTGATGTACCTTATGCGACACCTGAGGGGAAGAGCGACCTATCTCGGCAGCCAATTCGAAAACGCCCTGTCTCAGAAAACTTTTCAGAAGCGCCCTTATTCGGAATTTGATTGAGAAACGTCCTATTTCAGAAAACTTTTCAAGAACATCCTATTTCAGAATTCGGTTCAAAAATGCCTTATCTCAGCTGCCGATTCAAAACGCCCTATCTCAAATATTTTCAATATATTTGCAATAGAGGTATAGATATATATCGTCGGTTAAAGTGCAAAACCGCGTATCAGCAAAATGCAAAACCACGTATGAGAAGTTGTAGAAATTATTTTCTAGAGTAAAAGCACTCATATTTCAAAATGGCTCTATTTTTATAAAGCTATCGCATTTCTGGCTAGTATATTTCAGGACGAATGGATACCCTACCAGACACGACTAACGCAGTCTCCAATACATTTAAATATTTCACCAATACCCTCAAAACCACATGTCAAAATTTACACACGTACAGGAAACATATGGGGTGGGCTTTAGTAGTCAGCCGCAGCTTGTGTTTTAAGAAAACCAGGTGGAATTAACAAATGAAACTTGGTCAGGATGTTAAGGGAGGTATCCTCTAAAACATGTATAACTAAAAATATAAGTAATATCATTGTTTATAAGTTATTTGTTGTTAAAATTTCTTAAGTCGTTCCACTTGGTTTCCTTAACAAAAAAGCATTTGTGCATACTTTTATATATATAAATGCACATAACACCGTACTTAATACTTTACACACTTTTCATTTATTTTATCTTGTATATAAATCACTTTAATTAAACTTTTATCGACTTGTAAATTACATTGAATTTCTCGGATATTTACAATAACACATGGTTGCAAACTGACACATAACATGTGTTGCCATATTGTACAAAACAATACATACAAAGAAGGCAATGATTAAAAAGGAATACAGGGGAAATCAATACAAAAGAAAATGTTCAGCTCCTTTTCTTCGCAAAACAGAAAGGAGAATTCTATTGCCTGAGGGTTATAATCTCTAAGTGCGGCCGAAGGCCGCCTACGCAGAAAGGTGTTCTCTGCAAAAGGTGTTCAGCTCCTTTTCTTCGCAAAACAGAAAGGAGAATTCTACTGCCTGAGGGTTATAATCCCTAAGTGCGGCCGAAGGCCGCCTACGCAGAAAGGTGTTCCGCTTCTTTTCTTCGCAAAACAGAAAGGAGAATTCTACTGCCTGATGGTTATAATCCCTAAGTGCGGCCGAAGGCCGCCTACGTAGAAAGGTGTTCTCTGCAAAAGGTGTTCAGCTCCTTTTCTTCGCAAAACAGAAAGGAGAATTCTACTGCCTGAGGGTTATAATCCCTAATTGCGGCCGAAGGCCGCCTACGCAGAAAGGTTGTCTCTGCAAAATGTGTTCAGCCCCCCCTTCTTCGGCAACACAGAAATAATAATTCTACTAAGTAAAAAATCCGAATTAAAAATCCGCTTTTATTATTCAAAATTCCAGTCTGGTAGCACTAAGTTGTATGTTATTTTGCTATCTTATTCATCGTTTATAAGAAAACTTTAACAACAAATTATATAAGAACTATAGGGTTGCTAGAAAAAAGGGGGGTAGTTTTGAAATCAGGGGGTCCTATTCTACCCCCCCTCATCCCCCCTTTTTCTAGAATTTGCCGTCCGTCTACTAAAATTTTCCCCAACATATGTTACACATAACATATCTATAACACGATATCCTGTTAGATTTTTCATGTCGCCCTTAGGAAATTAACGTAAACATTCTATGGGAGTATAACATGCATTTACGTTACAACTCTGCGTTACATGATTCGTTATATAACGCGTAGTGTTCTTGTAGGGTACAGATTGAGACAAATCCAATTTTTGGCAGCCAATGTTAGTTACGCGGTTTTGCAGAATGACGATACGCGGTTTTGTACTTTAAACGGCGATATATTTGTTCATTAGCCACACGTTTTCGCGGTTCCATTGCGTACAGCAATTATTTTTCATAAAATCGAAGCAATTATTTTCCATAGAAAAAATATAGCCGGCAAGATATGGCACTTGCTCAAATCGATTCGATACAAGTACTTTTCTTTCGATACCAAGTAGGTATCGAAACAACGATTCGAGTAAAAAAAGTATTTGGTATCGAAACAAAAGTAACGAGTACATACTCGTATTTACTTGTATCGGAACATCCCTACCAATAAAAGACTATCCGAAGTTTTAAATATTTCTTAGAAAATGCTAGTGCCTTTTTCTGAAAAAGTGAAATGGAGTTATAATTTACATGCATACCTGACACCACCCCCGCAAAGATATTCTGAGCGTTCAGAATATATGAGTCCGAAGGGAGTCCTAGGTAGGTAAGAAATATGAGTTTCAAAAACCAAAATTTTTTTACTCTTATATGAATCTTTTAGGACTCATATATGATCCAAGTTATGAGCCAGCACCTTGTGCCATTATAAAAACAATAAAGATTTGAAATTTATATCCAAACTTGTTTATACAGAAATTGAAAATAATTAGAAAACAATAAATGAACAAAATTTAGCTGTAGCTGCTGCTATTGCCTGCATGTTGGAATGTGTATATGCACGTAAGTATGTATGCATGTTATTTGAAAGGAATTTTCGCTGAATGCTTTTGCAAATAAAGTGCGTTCAATAAGACTCAAGGAACAACCTAAAATAAGAGTCCGAATTTAGTAATTTATGAGGCTGATTAGAGGCTCGAAAAGAGTCTGAAATGATTCATATATGAGGCCAATAATTGTTTTAAAAAGAGTCCAAAATGAGCCGTATATTAGGCCAATAAGAGTCCAATATGTCTCATATTGAGGCTCATTTGTTGTATGAATTTAAGCTCATATAAGTCGACCTTCGGAGAAAGGGAAACACCCTCATATCGGACTCTTAAATGAGCTCATTATGAGCATAATGGCTCCGAAATAGGACTCCTTAAAGACTCATTTATGACTCCAAATGTTTGCTGGGTAAAGACAAAAATTGCAATAAGAAATCAAAAACACAGTAGCTACGCTATTTTCGGCACAACCTGATTAAAATACGAAAGCACACGAAACGTTTAATGCCGTAGTGGTAACTGATTCCGATTTAAACAAAAAGCCATCCGCAAGTCATTGGTGATCGTCGGCAACATGTTCCACAACATGCCAGATATATACGCCTGAGCAGGGTTGGCACCTCACGAAACTGATTGCGTAGCAAAAGACCAATAAAATCGTAGTAAAAAATAAAAAAATCGCAGCAAAAGATAAAAATTAGTTATTATTTTAAGTTCATATGTATATTAAAGAACTAGAACAAAACATAACAATTAAATTTCAATAACATTTTTACTATTTTAAGTATTGTATTATACTTGTTTCTTTTACAGTGGCGTTTTCCAAATACCGAACTTATAGAACTAAACCATTTCTGCCACTTACTGCTATACCTAAACAAAAGCGTCAGCGTTGTCTGTCTGTCAAAAAATTCTCATGGCCATACAATTTGTATGAGGCATACCGAAACAACGCGGCGTCGCGCTGAGCGGTTGGAAATTCCGATTTTGACAGGGCGTTAGGTATTAAAGTTGGCTGCAGAAAACGGCGAAACTGTCATTTTTGTGTTACACACAAACAAACCTATGCTTATTGTTGGTGTTATTTCTGCAATTGACGTAGCGTTGACGCTTTTGCTTAGGTATGGCACCTCGGCGCTAACGCTAGGCGACAGAAACCGTTCCGCCCAACGCTTTCGTTTAGGTATGGCAGTTACTCCAGCACTTTCTCCGTAAATAAGTTAAAATTTACTTTATTTGAGAATATCAATAATTCGATTTCCACGGAATATTGCCTCTGTTTAGCCGCTTTTAATTTGTGGCAACGAATCCATCGTGGAAGTAGTTCGACACGCAGTCATTGTTACCTTTCTCCGCAACTTCGTATCCCTCTCGCACATTGAATATTTCTGTCTGTTATGCGAAAATTGACCGGTGGGGTCTATTTTTTTCAGATGTTTTTGGTCAGACGCTTCTTGCACAATTTTCGATAACAGTATACATATAGATCTTGAAGCATTGGCCTGTTTACCACTTTCTTGAAGTTATAGTGATTTACAAATAGTTGCTGCCTATAAGTTTAATTAAATATAAAAAGCGTGGTAAAAATAGGATAAAACGTAGTGGGGTAGCAAATTTTAAAAGCTTTGAAAAATCTTAGCAAATTTACTACGGTCGTAGCAAAGGGCCAACGCTGCGCCTGAGATACACATTTCGTTCGTCGGCGTTCGGACTACTGAAACTCGATTCGGGAGTAAATGACTCGAAAAATTGGAGTAAAAGCGAAATTTTCGGAGCAGATTAACTTTTTTTTTATTAAATAGTATAAGGAAAAATTGTTACATCTTTTGGATCTTTTTCAGTTCATCCAATTTTTTCTATACTACTGCATTATTTGCATTCATATATGTATATGTATATCAGTATATTTGTATATGGGGAAATTTTTTGAGATGGAGATATTCTGCATACTGGCATATTGCTGCCGCCACAAAGCGGCTGCACTGCCAAATGCAGTTTCTATACCTTCGTTAATACTATTTATACGTGTAAATAGCAATAAATAGTTATCCAAAACAAAACTAACGGTTTAAATGACCAGTTTACTTGCTAAAATCGAGAAAATCAGGAAATTTCTAGTGCAACTCGCACAAAATCTGCTTTTTATTAAGGTATAACTTCTTTAGCGGTCAGACCTAAAGCTCGGGGTTTTCAGACATTTATTTGTAGGTTCTGAGGAATAAAATGACAGTTATTAAACAACTTACAACTGTAACTGAATTTCGCGTATTTAATAAAAAACTTAAATTTTCTTGTGGTAGTCGTTGACCGGTACTAATTTAAAATTAAGGGTATAAAATATATATACTTTTTCAATTCTTCAGAAGAAGAATCCAAGGTTAAAGGACAATGTGCTACTTATCTTTGCTGAAAAATCTTCTGAGAAAGCTCGTGACCAATTCGTAATTATACCTTTCATGAGCATGAAATGGTATTATAACTTTGGTCCGATGTTTGTAAGTACCAGAATAAGAAAAGATAGAACCATTAAAATGTATACTTAAATGATCAGAACATAGAGCTGAGTCGATTTAGCCATGTCCGTCTGTCTGTCTGTCCGTCTGTTTGTACGCAATCTAGTCTCTCAGTTTTCGAGATATCCGGATGAAATATGGTAGGTGGGTGTATTTTTATATTGTATTAATCATTTGTCGGAACCGGAAGAATCGGACCACTATAACATATAACTTCCATACAACTGATTGTTCAGATATGAGATTTTTCGTTATAACTTCTCCATTTATGCAGCTAAGAACATGAAATTGTGCAATACTTCCACCCATTATTAACAGAAAACTTGTAGTGAAAATTGCAAAGATCGGGTCACTATAACCTATAGCTCCCATACCACTGATTGTTCGGATATAAGATTTTTCGTTATATCTCCTCCATTTAAAGAGCTAGTAACATGAAATTTTGCACTGTTGTCACTCATTATCAAAAGAATACTTTCAATGAAAATGGCAAAGATCGGATCGCTATAACCTATTTCCCATTCAACAGATTGCTCAGTTATGAGAATTTTCGTTATAACTCCTCGATTTTTGCAGCTAGGAACATGAAATGTTGCAATGCTTCCAACTACTATAAACAGAATTCTTACAGTGAAAATAACAAAGATCGGGTCACTTTTACATATAGCTCCCATACAACTGATTGTTCAGATATGAGATTCTTTGTTATAACTTCTCCATTTATGCAGCTGGAAACTTGATATTTCGCACTATTTTCACTCATTATCAACAGATAGTTTACAGT